TAAAGAAAGGTTTTTTCTACTTGATTTGTCTTCCAGTATAGCTGAAACTGTTTTCTGCATGTTCCTGCCGCAGGGAGTCAGAACATAGACAATCCAGTGCCCCGCTGACGTGGACTGGCCTCACATAGTCCACAACCTTCTCCAGCCAGTGAGCCCTCACTGCGGACCTTAACATACCTACGCTGCCATGTGTCGCATACTCTCAAGGACAGCTTGGCGATTCGCACGAAGTGGACATTTCGGTCCCACACCATCATATGGGTACACTACAAACATACAATACTCTATAGAGTGATCCATAACCAATGTGCTGTAATAGAACATGCCACCAATTACGAATGTGCTCAAAAAAAATTTACCACTATGGTTTGTAAGACGAGTCCCCAGCAGTGTTTGGTAAGTGTGTGTGTAACTGTTGGTACAGGGAGATGATGACACACGTGCTGGGTGTGATTAGGTTGTATGGCCACCACAATGCTGTGTTTCTCTCTCCCTCTCTCCTCTCTCTCTCATGTCACCACTCTCTCTCTCTCTCTCTCTGTCACCCTCTCTCCTCTCCAGACATATGATTCCCAACTGTAGTCACTGGGTCCAGCAGATGAGCCGGACCCTCTGCAACCACTACATGACTGACTTTCTCTCTACTAATCTGTTTAGATGTAGTTTATTTGTACTACTGTTGGACATAACACATCCTGTTGTTATAAAGCTGCTAGCACATGAGTATACGTAACAAACATACAAACACTAATGGAGTGATCCATAATCAATGTGCTGTATATAGAACATGCTAAATTACGAATGTGCTCTAGAAAAACTTAACCACTATGGTTTGTAAGACGAGTATCAAGTATATAGTATTATTGGTAAGTGTGTGTAACTGTTGGTACAGGGAGATGATGATCACGTGCTGCAGAGAGAGATGGCAGACTGCCACGACACCATCTGCTCTGACCTGACTGTGAAGTTAGTGGGAGATTAGGTTGTATGACCAGTGTTTCCCTCTCCTCTCTCTCCCTCTCTCACCCTCTCTCTCCAGACATATTCCCAACTGCAGTCACTGGGTCCAGCAAGATGTGCCTGACCTCTGCAACCAGTACATGACTGACTTTCTCTCTACTAAATCTGTTTCAATGTAGTTTATGTGTACTACTGTTGGACATTACACATCTTGTTATTTTAAAGATGCTAGCACATGAGTATAGTTGATAAACGCCAGTGGAGGGCTGGAATTTTCTGTTTTCCATATATGTCCACATGGGAGTTTTATCTCTGCCATCCATCAGCCTGTGATAACTCAGTTGCTCAGTCGGTGGTGTGAGTGATGTGCAACAGATCAATGATGAGAATTGTGTCTCTGTTGAGTCTCCTCTGGTCTCTGGTGGAGGTCCACTCTCAGAGCTTTCCTCATGTCTCCTTCATGGGCCAGACTCTGGCCAACCATTCCTATGTGGACATCAGTCAAGTGGGGAATGATGTCAGTGGTAGTGACAGTGTTCAGTGTCATACTGACCTGAGACATGTTGTGTAGTGCTCAGGGTTCTCATCGTGGAGACTGGTATTTCCCTGATGGAACTAGACTGCCATTCTCTTGAGATGGTGATATCTATGAGTAACGTGTAGCTCAGAGAGTTGACATACGTCGTAGGAACAATGCTAACTCACCAACTGGTATCTATCGCTGTGATATTCCAACTGTTGCTGTCCATGATGATACTGACATCTCAGTGAGAGACACAGTCTATGTGGGACTGTATACTGCCAGTGGAGGTAAATTTAATTATTAGCTACTTCCATTTCTTGTTAGACATCGGATAGCTAAAAGCATGAATGCATCTATGATTCTCCTCTTTTGCCACATACATGCCATAACTCATTCACTCACTTAACGTTACTATGTTTCGCTGATTAGCAATTAGGACCCTTAGGCTTTGGTTCTTTACTGTAGGAGACATCTCGATATCTGGAGGAGTGACATTTGACCCTAGCCAGCTGACCCTCACCTGTATCTCCACTGGTGGACCTGCTACCACTGTCACTTGGACCAGAGACAATGTCATATCACTGGAGAGCAAAACGAGACTGTGTTGAATGACCCAGTGACTGCACAGTACACCCACACTCTGACTGTGACTACTGCAGGAGAGTACACGTGTACTGTGGCTAATAACAAGCCATCTTCTGCTTCAGCTAGCACCACTGTAGCAGGTAAAATGTCCGCAAATCACTGTTTTGGCATGCAGGCTAAAAACCAACGAACACTAGGAATGCAACATTTTGGCAAGTGAAGCAAGCAGTTCTAATATTATGCACGCATTATAGTATGTGCCCCTGCATTCAGACAGGCTCGCTTTGCTCGCCAATTATGTGAAATGAGGACATAGATGCACGTTTAACTCTCAGTGTTGACAGAGCTACGGGTATATACTCTCCAAGTGCTTGTGAACCACTTAAAGTTTGGGCAATAAAGTAATCCGCTCAATATTAATAGTTGTAAAAGTGTCACTACAGCCAAAGGTCGGCAGGTCAACAGCATGATTTCCTCAATACTACAAATTGAAAGTTCCCTATGGATACGTTTCAGGTCCCTATACTTCCCACTGGTATAGTATCATTGAGTGCTTTACTTTCAGGTCCCCCACCTCCCACTGATGTGACAGCAGTCCAGGATGGTCCCACTAGTATCACAGTGACCTGGACTCCTCCCTCTCCTCTGGATGGTATCACTGGCTACACCATCTTCTACACTGGAGGAGGGAGCAACGATGAGACAACTGTCAGTGGTGGAAACACTATGAGTCACACTCTGACTGGTCTCACCAATGGAGAGAACTACACCATATCGATTGTAGCTACAACCAATGGGCTGTCTAGTCCACCTGTACAGGCCACTGTTGGTTTAGGTATGTCATAACACACAAATGTAGGTGTTTCAGTTTACACAAGAATGCAAGAGCACGACAAACACTGTATTAACTTAGTGTGTCAACAAGAGGTAGCAGGGCACACGCAAAGCAAACAAGTCAACTACACCCAGGGCAGTTTGTTTTCTAAGGAAAAAAGAAGAGATGCCCTAGCTTTCCATTGTGTGCTGTCTTTGTTCCCACCACAGTTCCATCAGCTCCAGTCCTCGATTCAACTCCAACAGTCACTACCACTACCATCGCTATATCTGGTAGTGTTCCCAGTGGCTCAGTGGTGACTGGCTATGTGGTCCAGTGGCAGAGAGACACCTCACTTGTCTGTCCTGATCTGAGTGATGATGGTAGTATCACTGAGACTAGCAGTAGTTTCACTGGACATACAATAACTGGACTGGAGCCAGGCAATAGGTACACCATCACTGTGACAGTCTCTAATGGAGCTGGTAGTGGTCCTGTCAGTAATGCTGTTGCTGCAATGACTACTGCGACTGGTAAGGCGTACTGTATAATCCCCAAGTTCCTTACAATATGGTTGGTGTTACTCTCCACAGCTCCCAGTGGTGCTCCTGGTCCAATCACTCTAGTTACAGTCACACCAAACAGTGCCACTGTCCAGTGGGGAGAGGTGCCTTGTCCCCAGAGAAATGGAGAGATCACAGACTACACAGTTACTGCAACCAACTCGGGTGGAATGGAGGAAGGAACTGCTAGTGTTGATGTAGATGCTAGACAAGCCACAATCTCTGGACTGACTCCATCCACACAGTATACTGTGTCAGTGGCTGCAGTCAATAGTGCTGGTACTGGACCTCCACTACCCTCCCTGTAGAGACTCCAGGTGAGTATTGCTCTGTCGTCCCAACTTGCACACGCTCAACAAAATTGGATCAAGCCTGAAAGACTTGCCCAGACGATGTTTAGTATACTCTGTGGTCGTCTCATTCTCTCCCCACCAGATGGACTCGCTGTATCAGCCACTCCTTCATCCTCTACCTCCCTCACCATCTCATGGACACTGGAGGACAGTTTGACTGCTACCTCCTACACCATCTCCTACTCCAACACCAACACTGACTGTTTCACTGACTCCAGAAGTGATATCTCTGCTAGTGGGACATCACACACTCTGACTGGTCTAGAGGAGGGAACTGAGTATTCTATCACTGTCACTGCCACTCTGACTGGGAATGGAGGGACTCAAGAAGGCAGCACCACAGCCACCACACTGACTGCTGGTTAGTATCCTAGTATTTCCCTCTGTGTGTTCCCCTATTCTGATAACTCTATACCCACAGCTCCCATCTGTACCTCCTCCTGATGTGACTGTGACTGATGTGAATTCCTCCGCCATCACTGTCCAGTGGGGGAGAGGTGCCATGTATCCATCAGAATGGAGCCATCACAGGATACTCAGTCCAGTATGGAGTGATGGGGAGTGGGAACACAGAGACTATGACTGTCTCAGGAGCTAGTACCACTCAGACCACCATCTCTGGTCTCATGTCATCCACTACCTACTCCATCCAAGTAGCGGCAGTCAACAGTGCTGGTACTGGAGTCTACAGTGACCCAGAAACGGCTGAAACTCTTCCAAGTGAGGCTGATAATGTGAATTAAAAGAACATAGTCATGATGTACTGTTTAACCTCTCGACGAATGCCCAGCGAGGGTTACGTATATTGCAGCTAAAGTGCTAGTGTGTAGTTCTGCGCCGAGGGTTTGTGCTCCTGTACTTTCCTTTTTCCAGGTGTCTACCTCAGTCTGAACGGTGAAATCTTCTGTAATCATAGCTATGTTGCCATCAGTGATATTGGCTCCACTGATGACACTGCTCTACTGTGTATCACTAACCGTCCTGGTACTCCCTACTACAGGAAACTGGTTTGCTCCATCTGGGGCCAGAGTAGGTGACGTGATTCCTGTTCCAGGATTCAGCAGAACCAGAGGTCCTATGGTAGTGAGACTGAGGAGGACCACTGGTACTGCAGCTGAAGGAATATATCACTGTGAGGTAATGGACAACACAGAAACTGAGCAGAGAGTTTATGTGGGAATATACAATGGAGGAGGTATGTATTGGTTCACAGAATGTTCCTGGTGTAATTGATTCTACATTGCAGGAGACATCTCAATACCTGGGGAACTGACAGTGGAGTCAGACCTCAATGGAGCCAGTCCTCAGTTCACCCTCACCTGTATCTCCACTGGTGGACCTGCTACCACTGTCACTTGGACCAGAGACAATGTCAATATCACTGGAGAGCAAAATGAGACTGTGTTGAATGACCCAGTGACTGCACAGTACACCCACACTCTGACTGTGACTACTGCAGGAGTGTACACTTGTACTGT